GTCTTGTGAGTCTGATTGTTTAGTTAAGTCTATAGAAGACTTCTTAATTGGGATTATAGACTTTGTTTTCATTTAGGCCTCATTTTTAGAACACTTTTAAACTTTGCAACTAAGCAATAATTTGATGAGCTTAGAGTCAGACATACTTGACATTTCTTTCTGCTACTGCTTATAGGCTACTATCAGCAGAGAAAGTCTCCATAGACCATGGAGGAGAAGACTTTCCTATAGTACTGATTTCTAAAAACAGTTGTCCTGTGTATGATTATTGAAAAGAACTCTTGGTTCTTGACTTTCAGTTAATCAAAAATGGGTCATTGAGGCCTGACTTGCAGTTGACCTCACATCCTGTGATTCATAGAATTTTACTGATTTTTCCCCTATAATAGCTTGATTCCATCCCTTTTTTTCCATTCACTCTGCCAATACCTTGCCTAGTCTTTATTACCTCATATATAATTGTTGTTATAGTTAAATGTCATCAAGTCAGTTCTGACTTATAGTGACCCTGTATAGGGTTTTCAAAGAGTGGCTTGTGGGTTTGAACAACTGACCTTGTTGTCCAGTATGTTATTATGCAGCACCACACCAGGACTCCATGTATGAATTATTGTTGTTGTCAATTGCTATCGAGTCAGTTCTGACTCATAGTAACCCAGTATAGGATTTGTAAGGAACTGCAGGTTCATTTTAACTGCTGACCTTGTGCTTCAAACCAACGTTGAAGTCTAGTGCTTTATCCCACAGCGCCACATCATGACTCTGAACTGTTATTTTAGGAGTACTCTCTGCCTTTAGCCGTCACTTAATCTAAACTGTAGTAGCCATGGAACCCCAGACTGACTTCTATGAAACAGATTCTGAAATGGAGATTAACTTATTAATGTCAAATCTAGATTTCCTGGAGCATGAGATCTCTAGGAGCAGGGAAAAGGAAGACAGCAAAGGGAGATTTAGAGCAGGTGTTGGTTCAAGAATCAGCTATTTTATAGGCAGTGGAATCCATTTCATTAAATGTCCTTTTTAGCAGGAGAGTAACTTGATTAAAAACCAGACTTCAAGAACACTGATATGTCAGAACAGTAAAGGTAAAGACTAGAAGAAATGGCACTAATCAGGAGTCTATTGTCAGATGACACAAACTAAGGTAGGGATTCAATAAAAAGATATGATATCAGTAGTGTAAAGGAAGACTTGGTGACAATGAGAAGAAAGCAAAGAATTCCTTACTGACATCAAATAACATTGATTTCTAATTTCTAAACATTGAAATTGCTTTCAAGACAGTCTGAGAGGAATAGAGAAAGCACACTTCTTACACATGTTAAGATACTTCTTGTTGTGTGCCATCAAGTTGGTTGAGAAACATAACAACCCTATATAGAGTTTCCAAGGAACACTTGGTATGCTTGAAACAGTCACCTTGTGCTTCAAACTAACTTTGTAGTTCAGCACATTAGCCCACAGCACCACTTGTTAAATGGTGTTAAATGCTATCCAGTCGATTCTGACCCATAGCGACCCTGTATAGGGTTTCCAAGGAGTAGCTGGTGAGCTTGAACCGGTGATCTTATTAAGACACTACAAAATGATAAATTCATAATGGATAGTACACTGGACTGCAAGGTTGGTTTGAACTGAAAAGTCGGTGGTTCAAACTCACCAGCTGCTTCTTGGAAACCCTATATGGAACCTACTTGATGGCACTTAACAACAACAACAAAAACAACAAACATCATGATATGCTTCTTTTCATCTTTCTGCTTCCAGAATGGAAAATAATGGGCAGAGTGCAACCGAGTCTACTACAAGCTTTTATTCTTTCTATATGTTGGAGAATATTTACAATCAGCAGTGGTAATCAAGAAAGTTCTGTCATGGGCCACATATCAGCAGATGGAAACTATGTTAACTCCCCCTGTTTTGTTTTTACTTATCTTTTACTGTGTGATAATCAGGCTGAGTATGTATCAGGGTTTTCTTCAGATAGTTCCAATTTATACCTGTTGTCCCAGTACATTTATCAAAGGAAGATGGAAGAGTCGCTGTAACAAAAATAATTGGTTGATATCCAACCACTTGGTCATTGTTATTAAGTGCCATCAAGTCAATTCCGACTCACAGTGACCCTGTATAGGGCTTACAAGGAACAGCTAGTGGTTTTGAAATGCCAACCTTGTGGTTTGCAGTCCACTGCCAATCATATACCGCTACACCAGAAGTACTTTGTTGTTGTTGTTAGGTACCATTGAATCGGTACTGACTCATTGTGACCCTATGCACAGCAGAATGAAACTGTGCTCGATCCTGGGCCAACCTCCCTGCTGTTGCCATGCTTGAGTACATCAATGCTACCACTTTGCCAATCCATCTCACTAGGAGTCTTCCTCTTTTTCTCTGACCCTCCACCTTACCAAACATGATATCCTTCTCCAGTGACTGCTCCCTCCGGACAATATGTCCAAAGTATGAGAGATGAAGTATGGCCATCTTGGCCTCCAAGGAGCACTCTAGTTGCACTTTTTCCAACACGGATCTGTTGGTTCTTTTGGCAGCCCATGGCACTTTCAATATTCTCCTCCACCATAAATCAAATGCATCAATTCTTCTATGGTCTTCCTTATTTACTATCCAGCTTTCACATGCATCTGAGGTTATCGAAAATACCATGGCTTTAGTCAGGCGATCCTTAGTCCTCAAGCTGACATCTTTGCTCTTCAACACTTTAAAAAGGTCTTGTGCAGTAGACTTGTCCAATACAATACGTCGTCTGATCTCTTGACTGCTGCTTC